CGCTGCCCCTCCGCCCGCCCTCTGTGGCACGGCGCTGAGCCGGAGGCTTGTTTGTGCCTGTCAGGTAGGAGCAGCCTGGCAGCTCCCCCGGGCAAGGCTGTGCAGGACGAGGACGAGGACAGGCATGCCCGCCACGCCGCCCTCCCTACCTGCCCCGGGACTCTGCAGGGGTGCTAGCTCCCCCTCCGTCCCTTCCTTGCACCAGCCAAACCTAGCACTGAAGCAGCATAAGGACGCACAGCCCTCACCGCAGAGACTCTGTCCCCTTGCTGCCCTGGTGCAACCTCCCTCTCCCCCCCGTCCCTGCTGCTGTCCTTGCCGCTTGCCTTGCAGCTTGGGATCCTGACTGCTGTCTGCTTGCTCCTGCCCTGCAAGGTGGATCCCGGCTCAATTTGTGCCCAGGAGGCAGAGGGAGGCAGGGCAGCCACTCAGGGGGCAGAGGGGCTTAGCTCAGCCCCTGGATTGCACGACGAGAGCCCATAACATCGCTGCAGAGCTGACAGCCGCACAGCTCCCACTGACAACCAAGGATGGGCAGAGCCCTGCAGCCCTCAGCACCTCTCAGCACCACTGCAGAGCCAACCACGCTCCAATCCAGCTCCGGACACCCGTGGGGCCTGGCTGCGCTCGGCTCCAAGACACACGACCGCCCGTCAGGCTTGTGCGTGGCCTGCTAAGCAGCGGTGCTGACCCCATGCACCCTAAGGAGGCATGCCGACACCATGCACCCTAAGCAGCCATGCACCCTAAGGAGTGGTGCTGACCCCATGCACCCTAAGGAGGCATGCCGACACCATGCACCCTAAGCAGCCATGCCAACCCCATGCACGTTCAGCAGCCAAGCTGACCTCGTATATCCTAAGCATCCATGCACCCTAAGGAGCGGCGCTGACCCCATGCGCCCTAAGGAGCAGCGTTGACACCATGAGCCCTAAGGAGCAGCGTTGACACCATGAGCCCTAAGGAGCAGCGCTGACACCATGAGCCCTAAGGAGGCATGCCGATGCCACGCACCCTAAGGAGCGGCACTGACCCCATGCACGCTAAGCAGCCATGCCCACCCCATGCACCCCAAGGAGCGGCGCTGGTCCCGTGCACCCAAGGAGCCAGGACCAGGCAGCATGAGCCCGACCC